AAAAGTCAAATAACTTCTTAGCCTCATTATGAAATAGTTTTTCACAGTACATTGCTGACCCTCTGAACAGATTTCAGGAACACCTAGGAAACACTGATGTACTCTATGAAAACCATGGAATTTGGTATTTATTGAACACTTGTTGTTTGCCCAACACTGAAATGGATTCTATAGCAAATTTGGAAGTTCATTCAAGGGCACAACCAAAGGCAGATCCATGAGAGTATGACTGCCATATTGGCAGAAGAGGAGGAAACCAACCAGAGCTAAACACATTGAAGATGAGGAAAAATCGTGAGAAATACTTCCCTCTATGATAGAATTTTACCCTAAGTGCCACTAGGCAGTGCTATATATCCAAGGGTTTTGATACATTAGAACTATAAGTAAAAAGGACTTTTGTTTCAAAAAAATTTTTTTTCAAGTGTTAGTTTTTTGTTTTTTGTTTTTTTTTAATATAAAATTGGTTTGGGGCCACCTGGGTGGCTTAGGCAGTTAAGTGTCTAATTCTTGATTTCTCATCAGGTCATGCTATCAGGGTTGTGAGATAGAGCCTGAGTCAGGCTTCCCACTGAGCATAGACCCTGCTTAAGATTCTCTCTTAGTCTTTCTCTCTCTTTCTCTCTCTCGCTCTCGCTCTCTCTCTCTCTCCCCATCTCTGCCCCTCCTCTGCTCTCCCTCTCTTTTTCTAGATAGATAGATAGATAGATAGATAGATAGATAAAATTGGTTTCAAGTGATACGAGGTGTGGTATATTTGTTGAGTGATTGTGAGTTCCAGGCAGGAATGATATAGTAATTTCCTTCTTTGAGCTCTGGTAAAGGGTAAAGAGATAAGCTAATGTGAGAAAATGTCGCTCTTTGACATTTAGTTCATCTGGAATCAAGTGAATTATTTCTGTTTATTGCTAAAGGAAAGTGAAACTCTCCACCCCAATATTCCTCAGGCTTTCTGGGAAACCCCATGCCATTTAGGTGAGGATCTCTTCTGCCAACCTCTGCGCTTCCCACCACTTCCTGGAGAAGCTCCAGGCTGAGCCAAGCACCAAATGAGTCAGTGCCACTGACTCATGGGTTTCCTGACCCATGGGTTTCCTAACTCCAGCTCATGTCAGCCAAGTGAGGAGAGAAGAAGACAGAACCTGGAGACCATCTGCTCCCCTCAAAGGGCCAACCTCAGGGACTCACATCCAAGCATCATCAGGTGAAGTGGTACCTGGAGGTTTGTGGGAATGTCAAACCTTGTTTAGGCAGCAAATACAATTGTAGCTTCCAGTGGTCACTTTCCACAAGGAAGTGAAATTCTGGCCAACCACGTAGGGGATATATGTACATAACATACATGTATGCATGTATGGATGGATGGTAAGCTATACATAAATTTTATTTGAAAAATTAAATGAAGAGTAAAAAAAAAGTAAATAAAATAGAGTATAAACAACAAAACCAAACCGAAAAAGTACTGAAATGTATACATAACAAAGCCCAGGGCCAACAGTTGTTAATCAACCTGTTTTGTCTAAATTTAAAGATGGTATAATGCAGAAAAGTTAATTTTCTTTGTACTGAGATCAAAGGTCATTGGTTTCCATATATCCCCAACGGTAATAACTAGCATGCATTAAGCCACCCCTGATTTTCCACTGTTTTTTTTCATTTCCCTTTGGTCTCTATTTTGTCCCTCTCTGCACCACCACCTGCCTGCCGCTCACCTTTCTTTCAAGATCCATGACGGTTGTCCTCTTCTCCATGTAACCTTCCCCGGCTCGAGAGAGGCAGATGTTGTATAGCCTCCCCTCCTGCGTCCTTTATCTCCTGGACTTGGGGGTCAGGAACCTTGTCTCATTTGCATTCGTGCCTCCAACATCTTGTTTAATTCCACGCAGAATTACTGGCTGAACCAGTGAGTGAGGAAAGGAGTGAGAAAGTTTGAGAGATGAACACACAGTCCCAACATAATCTATTTTTCCACCCGTTATAGGCCCGGCTTGTGCAGTGCCCTTCACCATACCTCACCGCCCCCTGGGGAGTTACCCTGGGATCCATAAACCGGGTCTAACAAGTGGCAAGGCCTAGTCCTCATTTTCGTTTCCCTGAATCTGGCCATCTGGTACCAACCAGTTTCCTCCAGAGAACGTAGAGGTAATGTCTTCCAAAAGAAGGTAGTGTTTTTTTCGTTTCTCCCTAATTATTTTATCTCTTTGTATGCATTGTCTTTCAAAGCTACAATCAAATCCTTTGTCAGAACAAGGGCAGCAGAAAGCCAGCCGGCGTCGTCATAATGTGCGCCCCCTGCGTCACCACGCGAAGCTACGCGAGACCGGCTGTCCGCACCGCACGCACGCGCACACGCGAGCCTCCGAAGACGCACGCGTATTCCGCATTTTGAAACCAACTCCCGGCAACCCGTGTTTTCCTGTGTGATGGCTTAGAAACAATTTCCTTTTCATCTTTGCTCTAAAAGAGAACAGAGGCAAAAGGGCAAGCAAAATAATATAAATAAATGTGCTAAAATTAAGGACAGGAGTCCTTGTATGTTTTGTTTTCTGTAAGCATTTCAAGAGCATAAAAGGGAATCTGAGACAGTAGATGCTAAGTATTTGATGAGACAGAATGAATAAATTAAGGAAGGAGTGCAACAGCTTACTGGATGGGAAAGCTGTCACTTTTGGTATAATATACTTCTTAGGGTGAATCCACACCCGGCAACCCACTCACCTGCCACTCATTCACCCACTGAACTTGCATAATATTTATGCTAGAAAGCAGGGTGTGACTAGGAGTGGAAACATGGACCTGAGTTGTAGGACAAGATGCCAGACTTGGAAAGTTCAGATAAGGCAAAAGAGCCAAAATAAATGAGTTGTAAAGACTGGAACTGAGTCAGAGGTAGTGAAAAAAATTTAAATAGTAGCATAAAAACCTCAACCAACCAAACAAAACAACTCTGATTGGAAATATTCATTGCTGGCCATAAGAGCAAATAAATGATATTCCTAAAAATTATTTCTCTAGTATTTATACCACTTATTTCTTTTCAGTGGACATTAAATCATTGTATCTACATATTTTGTGGCCCAAATAAATCACTTTTTAAAAATGGAGATGAAAACAATTGTATGTACCTTTTTACAGGCATTTAGTAGAATTTAGCTGGATAACTGGAACTGGGAAATTCAGCTATAGTACAGACACTGAAAAAAAATCCCCATAAAATTCATTTTATAACTGATAAAATATCATCCATAAGCCCTCATACCGCTGGAGTTGGAGTAGGGGGTGGAGGTACAAAATTACCAAATAAAAACTATGTCTGTCTCTTTCACATTAGTTTAGGCTTTTCTGAATAGTGAAATTTTATGTTCAAATTTTCTCCTAAATCTGTTTCTTTCCTTTTAGTGTTTTAATCTGTGGAGTTATTTCTAGAGACTGTATTGTAAGTCCTGGAGGGTCAATGGGGTAAATTGTCAGCAATGTTCTCATCTCAAGGCTGTTGAACTGTGAAAGCATTAGGAGAACAGAGCCCCATGATCCCCCCCCACAAAGGAAAGTTAGATACAAAATCCCTTGTAAATTCCTGGCATTCCTTGGAGCTGCAGGTACTCCCTGTGTGTTTTCACATAACCACCAGATCTTTTGTTTTCTCATTCTATACATTGATACTCTTTAATACTGATATCTGATTTTTAAAAATTAGAATAAAAGCTATATACAGTTTGCTGCTGCTGCTGCTGCTGCTGTTTTCACTGGCCAACGCAACCCTGAACATCAGCTCTAAGTGTCTGAGAACTTTTTCTTCAGAGTATGGCAACAAGTGACACCCGAACAGGGACCAGCAGAGTTGACTGCCTCCCAGCTGTGTACCTCATCTCTCAGGCCCAAAAATGGGAAAAGGACATCCACTCATCCAGGTAGGAACTAGGGCACTCGATGCGTGCAATGAGTTGAGAAAAATATCCCTAATCTTTCCTCTTCCAATCAGGCGTGCAGAATCTCTTGTCTTCTTTATCTTGTTCTCACTGTTCTTCCTTCCTAATAGACTCAGGTTACTCTAACTGTATGTAGGGGCTTCTAATTCATTACCTGAGTTAATGACTATGAGAATTGGAGCCAATTATCTCTGGTTAGTCTACTTCAGGAAGGAGACTTTAAGGAATATTCCTAAGCAGCTGCCAAAACTTTTGGAGAACTGCCCATTTACACACACACACACACACACACACACACACACACAAACACACACACCCCTGCATCTGCTCATCTGTCCTCGCTGATGGGCTTTAGGACTGGAAAAATCTCTTTCTCTGTCCACTGGGCTTTATTCCACTTCCAGCTTCCTGGAGGCACCTCACCTGTTCTGCCTTCTCCTCCCTCTCCTCCGGTTTCTGCACCACCTCGGATGCAGCCTACATCTTCCATGCCTCTGGCATCATCAGCTCCTACTCCCTTCGTTGTCAAGGAGCAAAGAGCACCCCTTTAGACTTACACTGCCCATTTCAGATCTTCCCACCAGATAAAAGTCGACAATGGTAAATAAATAGCTTGATTTTCAAGTGGACCCAAACGGAACATATTTGGTATTTGAAGTAATTTAAGTATATTGTTTCAATGAAGATAGACCTGTTTTTAAAATTATCAACATTAAATATAAAACTTTTTCTACCTATATTTACTGAAGGTCAAATAAGTTCATGTTAACCCTGTTGGAATTTGTTAACAAAAAGACAACTTAAAATGATGGCTAATTCTGTCTCAAAGATTTTCATGCATAATTGTTAAGATAGCTTTCAGGGTCTTTGTAACCTAAACTCTAAAGATTTGCTTGGATAATAAAATAAAATTAAATCCATTGGACATTTAAGCCTTTTCCATATAGAATGGAATGCTGAATCATTAATTATTAAATGTAGTTCTGGGGAAGGCTCCTGGCTGCCATGTGGCCAAGTATGCTTATTGGACCATGAGCTGCTATGTATGCCTGAAGTACTTGAAATGCAAATTTGGAGAGACTTTGCCATCTAAATGCTTGGCTGGATTAAGCGCCTAATTAGGATGGTTTTTCAACAGGTTGGAGTAAGCATGCAATCGATACTTTGGTCTGGGAAGCCATATGGTTCATCTCGAGGTATCGTAAGGAAAATTGGTACTAATTTATCTCTGATCCAGTGTCCAAGAGTTCAGTTTCAGCTTACCAGCCCCACAACAGAATGGAGCCCTAGCCCTCCAGGAGAGGATGCATTGGTGTCTTTTGCTGATATTGGATGGGTAGCCAAAGAAGAAGAAGAGTGTTCAACAAGACAAAGGACAGAGGTCAGATCAAGGCAACCCCTTGAGGATGGCCTGCCTTTCTCGAGAAGCGGCCAGGCAGGGACTTTTCCTTACCAAACCCGTCCCCAGAAGAGCCTCAATGGAAGACAGCGCTGGCAAATGAGGAAGCACTGCAGAAGATCTGTGCCCTTGAAAATGAACTTGCTGCTCTCAGAGCTCAGATTGCCAAAATTGTGACCCTGCAAGAGCAGCAAAATCTCATTGCAGGTGATTTAGATTCTACCACATCTGTCCCCACAGCCCCACCCTCCGTCCCCCTACCTCCCCCGCCACTCCCCCCACCAGGGCTTCACCAAAGTGTATCTGCCATCGAGCTGATAAAAGAGCGAAGAGAGAGAAGAGCCTGTGCTGGAAAGACTCTGGTTAAGAGCAGTCCCAAGAAGAGCCCAAGTCCCTAAGAGCAGTCCCCTGATATGCCAAATGTGCTAGAGATCCTCAGAGATATGAGCAGCGTAAAACTCCGCTCAGTAAAACGGTCCGAGCAGGAGCCGAAGCCCAGGCCGGTGGATGCTGCTGACCCTGCCGCCCTCATAGCAGAGGCTCTGAAGAGGAAGTTTGCCTTTCGATACCGAAGTGATAGTCCAGGGGAAGTTGAAAAACGAATTCCAGAGTCTGAACCAGAGGCCACCTCAGAAACAGTGCTGTTTGGGCCACACGTGTTGAAGTCTACAGGAAAAATGAAGGCTTTGATTGAAAATGTTTCAACTTCCTAATAGTGAGCTGAGGAAAAACTCTCCTTGTTCCAGCTGTTGGTTTGTTAGGACTATCTGGCTAGTGGAAATCAACACTGGTTAGTAAATGCCTGAATTTAGTATTCAGTAGTCTCCTTTAAGTCTAATAAAAAAGCACTCTGTTTCTTTTTGTGAGAAGGTTCTGAAGGTTTCCGTAACATGTTTTTAATGTGTAGCCAGGATGTTAAAGGTTTCTAGTCTTAAAAACAATTCTATAGATTTCAGAAGAAAAGGACATTATAGATGTGAGGTTTTAATTCTTAACACTGATTTATCCGTCCAAATGTTTTATATGCATATCTTTGGGTATAAAATAGTACATAAAATGTAATGATGATGTCGGTGAGGTGGTCAGTGACCCTTGATCGCTCAGCGCTGGAATTGGGTATAACACACGTTGTTGGAGTGAGATATTTAGGAACCTTGTTGCCTTGAATAGGACTTTTACCTTAGACTCTCTCTCACATTTCCTTAGAGATGGGGGTGCAAGTAGGAACTAGATGATGATCACTGCTGAAAATCCTGTAATGCTTTCGTTTAAAGGAAACTCAAAGACCACAAAAGCTGCTTCCCGTCAGTGCTATCCAGTGGTGAGAGAGAAAATGTAGTTTTCAGACAAATAAAATTACTGAATCAAATGTAGAACAGGTGAAAAGCACAGTGTACCGTCTTTTTTGTTTCCAGTTTCATAAAGACCTCATACAGAGGGCTTGTTGCTAAGTTAATATGTACCGGAAATGGAGTTTCAGAATTTTTTAATATTGGTCAAATGTAGTAGCTTTATAATGAAACACTGAATAGGCGAAAGAATTTCCTGTAAGTTGTTTATCACTGGTCCGAGTGCTGTTCTGCTGAGTCACATCATGCAGCGAACCTTAGGTGATGCAGCGAACCACGAGAGGATGGAGAGGCGCCCTTCTGGAGGGGTCCTTCCGCGGGCCGCTGTACGGCCACTTGCGAGTGCCTGATGGACGCTTTCTGGGCCTCTGTATTTCTGTGAAACTCAGCTATGGTTAGCGCAGAGTCTCCTACCATGAGTAAATATGGGGATTTATTTAAATCTAGTAAAAAGAAATGGAGATGAGAAGAGTAGACATTTAAGTTATTGAAAATATGTGCAATGTTCTCAATATTAGGAAATGTTACTCAGCTTAAATTGGAACTGTGGCTTTACATTGTTTCTACTGTTTCATACGATTTAAAAGTTCTGCCTTTAAAAGAAATTCAGAAAATTTGTCTGTATTATGTATTTTGACCTTTTAAGAAATTTATATTTGTATCAGTATTAAATTTTGGCCAGTGCTCCCATTGAAGGAAGTTACTATATTGAAATAAAGCAAATTTGTATTTTCCTTGGAAAAAAAAATAAATAAATGTAGTTCTATATTTTTTACTTATTACAAGAAAACTAAGGATATTTGGGCCTACTAAAAAGCATAAAGCATTAAGCTATATGCTTGAATGATTCATAAACTTGCCATTTAAGAAATTCTAATGTAACCGTTCACAATTGGTTGCTACTTAGTTTTCACTGGAAACTAAGATTTCTTAGAGTTAAAATTCTGCTAAGTGTAATTAAGACTGATGAAAATAGAGCAACTCTGTATATAGACAAGGAGTTATGTCAAAAAGGTATAAGAAAAGGAAATACAATTTTTAAATTTTTTTTTAATGTTTTTTGTTTATTTCTGAGAGAGAGAGAGAGACAACGTGAGCAGGGGAGGGTCAGAGAGAGAGGGAGACACAGAATCTGAAACAGGCTCCAGGCTCTGAGCTAGTTGTCAGCACAGAGCCTGACACAGGACTCGAACCCATGAACCGTGAAATCATGACCTGAGGCTGAAGTCAGATGCTTAACTGACTGAGCCACCCAGGCACCCCAGGAAATACATTTCTGATGAAGGTAAAAGAAAATAACTTTGTCCTAAGTAAGACTGGATGTTTGAAGAGAAATGGCTTGGGACTAAAATCTAAATGCAAAGGAAAGTTATAGGAGGTTTGTGAAGAGAAATCTTTGAAAATGAATTTTATGTATGGACAAGACAGACTTAGGTTAAAATAAATAGATCTTTAAAATACATTGATACAAGAAGACAAGGTTTTCTTTTTTTTTCTTTACAGGCCCTTTTTTTATGAATATAATTTATTGTCATATTAGCTTACATACAACACCCAGTGCTTATCCCAACAGTGCCCTCCTCAATGCCCATCACCCATTTTCCTTCTCCCCCACACCCTCATCCACACTTAGTTTGTTCCGTATATTTAAGTCTCTTGTGGTTTGTCTCCCTACCTCTCTATTTGTCACTATTTTCTCCCTTTTCCTTCCCCCATGGTCTTCTGTTCAGTTTCTCAAGATCCACATATGACTGAAAGCATGTGATATCTGACCTTCTCTGACTGACTTATTTCACTCAGCATAATACCTTCCAGGTCCATCCACATTGCTGCAAATGACATGATTTCATTCTTGCTCATTGTCAAGTAGTATTCCATTGAATCTATTAACCACATCTTCTTTATCCATTCATCAGTTGATGGACATTTAGGCCTTTTCCATAATTTGGCTATTGTTGAAAGTGCTGATATAAACCTTGAGGTACACTTGCCCCTATGCATCAGCATTCCTGTATCTCTTGGATAAATTCCTAGTAGTGCTATTGCTGAGTCATAGGGTAGAACTATTTTTAGTTTTTTGAGGAACCTCTATGCTATTTTCCAGAGAGGCTGTACCAGTTTGCATTCGCACCAACAGTGCAAGAGGGTTCCCATTTTTTCACATCCTCACCAGCATCTGTAGTTTCCTGAATCGTCCATTTTAGTCACTCTGACTGGTGGGAGATGCTATCCCAGTGTGGTTTTGATTTGTATTGCCCTGATCATAAGTGACGTTGAGCATCTTTTCATGTTGGCCATCTGGAAGTCTTCTTTGGAAAAGTGTCTATTCATGTCTTCTGCCCATTTCTTCACTGAATCATTTGTTTCTTGGGCGTAGAGTTTGGTAAGTTCTTTATAGATTTTGGATACTAGTACTTTAACTGTTATGTCATTTGCAAATATCTTTTCCCATTCTGTCAGTTGCTTTTTATTTTTGTTGATTGTTTCCTTTGAAGTGCAGAAGCTTTTTATCTTGATGAGATCCCAATAGTTCATTTTTGCTTTTGATTCCCTTGCCTTTGGAGATGTGTCGAGTAAGAAATTGCTGCAGCTGAGGTCAAAGAGATTGTTGCCTGCTTTCTCCTCTAGGGTTCTGATGGTTTTCTGTCTCACATTTAGGCCCTTCATACATTTTGAGTTTATTTTTTGTGTATGGTGTAAGAAAGTGTTCCAGTTTCATTCTTCTGCATGTTACTGTGTAGTTCTCTCAGCACCATTTGTTAAAGAGACTCTCTTTTTACCACTGGAAGAAAATCTTTCCTGCTTTGTCAAAGATTAGTTGGCCATACATTTGTGGGTCCAATTCTGGGTTCTCTATTCCACTGGTCTAAGTGAAAAGACAAGGTTTTCTTGGATTGTTGATCTGCTCGTCAGGGAAAAAAAAAGTAAAACAAAGGTCTTTTCTCTTTTGTATGCCAGAAAAACCAAAGCTTTATGTTTTGTCTTTACCAGGTCTTTGATTACTTAGTTAAAACTTCTCAATATTAAAGGAACTAAATTTTATAAGCACCTGTATAACCCTACATATTTGCCTTGAAAATCTTATTGCCACCTTGGTTAAATAAATAATTAAGACTTAAAATGATTTGTAGTCGTGTTGAGGATGTGCTTTATAACTTTCTAAGATTTTAACAAACTTCCCAAGATTTAAATTATAAATGAAATCTTTTGACCAATTGGGCCTTTTTGTTGAGAATGTTATCTGGAATATATGACATTCCATTGGAATTCATTATAACCCACAAGGTCAAGCCATCGTGGAACGTGTAAATGACTTTTTAAAATTGCTTTTATTGAAATAAAAAAGGTGAAATGCCACCACTAAGGCCAGGTTAATGAGAGCCCTATTTACATTAAATTACTTACTATTAGACAGAAATTTTCATTTTGCTATGCTTAGGCATTTTCAAATGGAAACCCAAAGTATGGGACAGATTGCCCAATGAGGGGACAACTTGGAAGGGTCTGGTACAATTGTTAACCTGGGAGACGTATGCTGCTGTATTTTGTCCTCAAGGTCCTGTGTGGGTACCTGGTCAGTTAATAAAACCACATCATGAACTGGCATGGGGGACTCAAGAATCCAATACCAAACTTCAAAATGATGACGATGACCCCTCCTAGTGGGATGTCAAATCCAAAGAAGAGGAAGATTGATCATTTAGTGAATGGAGGCATCTCCTGGGGTGATGTTAAAAAATTAACCTCACAGGCTGAAGAGGTTCTAATCAACGTGGCATGCCCGTGACCCCGGAAAATATGTTTCTATACCTCATCTCTTGCCTTCCTGCCAACTCCTGCTAATATGTCTGCATTCTTTACCTGTTGATTTTGCTCACTCACATTCTACTTTTACCTTCTAGGCTCATCTTCATAGCCTTCGTGTTTTTGATCTAATTTCTTGGGAAGATCCCAAAATTCCTATCTTGTCTAATGGCACCTCTATTATCAGAGGACATTGAATTCCCATTAATACTTATGATTCATCTAACTGTCCATCACATAGACTATAAATAAGTTGGTCATTTTCGGGGCGCCTGGGTGGCTCAGTCAGTTGGGCAGTGGACTTTGGGTCAGGTCATGATCTCATGGTTCATGGGTTCGAGCCTTGCGTTGGGCTTTGTGCTGACAGCCAGCTCAGAGCTTGGAGCCTATTTCAGATTCTGTCTCCCTCTTTCTCTCTGACCCTCCCCTGTTCACGCTGTCTCTCTCTCTCTCTCTCTCTCTCAATAAATAAAAACGTTAAAAAAATTTGGTCTTTTCTCACTTGGGCCTCCCTCTATGTTTCTATTATAATCCTAACACTACCAATACCAACCAAAGCCTCTGTGTCCCCCTTCACAAGTGATGGTATATGCATAGCATACTTAAA